CTTAAGTTTCTTTCTGTATGGTCAAACAAGTATCCACATAAATATTTTATAACAACATATAGATCCACGATCTTACAATACATATTTCAAAGACATATTGCAAGATGGGTTAATGATTCTAACGCATATAAATACAACAAATAACATTATACAAGTTTTATGGGGAAAAAAAAAAAAACAAAGTGTATCCAAAAGAGTTAAAAGTTTGAAAATTTTAGGTCTTAGGAGAAACCTTTAAGATTGATTTCTTGAGTTCATCATATCGATCTCTTTGATAGTCCGCAAGAACACAAAGTTGTCTTATTGCTTCTCTCTTCTCTTCCCCTAAGCTCAACAATTCAACTTCTCGTCGCTTCATTTTGATCTCAAGCTCTTTGTTTCTCCCTTCAAATTTGCTCAAAACTTTGGCTAAACTCAGTTTATCTGTTCCTTCTTCCGCAAGTTTCTTCTCAAGCTTAGATAACTTCTCCTTCAACAAAGTTTCTTGAGCTTCTTTACATTCTAGCTCCGCGGCTACGGTTTCTACCTCGCTCTTCTTCTCACGCACCCAAATCTTCGCTGAATCAATCTCCTTCGCTAGTCTAGCAACTCGGTCGGTGTGTTCCTCTGCTTCTTCTAGCTTCTCCATAAATCTCGAGTACCCTTTTTCCCAAACGTCTTTGATTTTCTTGAAATGGGTTTCGAAAAATATCAAACTTTCTTTATTTTCTTTGTTTTCTTGAACTATGTCTCGTGTTTTGATGTAGTCGTTCTTGCTCTCTAAGTGTATTTGTTCAGCTACATGGATTCTTCTGTATAGTATCCTTATATGATCTTCAATCTTCATCCGGAAATCTTCAGCTAATTCTTCCATTTTCTTCTCTACGGCATATGGATTCAGTTTCGGATCACGGCTTGAACCGAATGACCAACGTTTTGTTTGCTTCATATCTTCAGAGAATTTGTCAATAGTTTCTTTTTGTTCTTTGAGAAGTCTTTGTTGATCCTTGATTTTCGCCGTTAATCTGCGATACAAACCAAAAGACTTAAAAAACTGAATATTCGAGAAGTCAGAAAAATCAAAATGATATGTGTTTGTTTACCTTCGAATAGTATCATCTTGTTCCTTGACAAATTTCTTCTGATCAGAAACGTGAATGTCCAACTTCTTGCTCTTATCTTCATTTTCTTTAGTGTTCTTCGCTTCTGTCTCCATATGTAATGAATCGAGCTCTTCGATTCTTGTGTGCAACTTCTGATTTTCTCCTCTAAGATGGTCAATCTCTTCATTCAGTTTATCCCTCTGTTCCTCTGTTTCTTCTTTAAAACTCTCCAATTCCATCTTTGTCTCGGTAACTTCTTCGACTTTCTTCTCCAAGTTTGCTTCAAATTCATCTTTCTGGTTCCGCAATGATTCAAGCTCATATTTCATACCATTTACCTGATCCATCAAGCCCTTAACATGTTCTTGCTCCTCAAGTCTCTTAGCTTCAAAACTTGTGTTTCGTGCGCGAAGAAAACCAACTTCTTGTTCCAAATTTTTCAATTGGCATTTCAATTCTTCGATCCTCGATGTTAAACCTAACTCACTATTCCCAAACCTGTCCACAAGTGTTGATATCTCATCTCCTTTCTCTTTCAAAACCAATTCCAAACCGGAAATCGTAGATCTAAGCCCTTTATTCTTCTCTCCTAATTGCTTACTTTCACTAGCTTTCATTGCAATCTCTTCTTCTAAATCTCCTTTTCGAGCGCACTCAGCTTTCGCTTCACCTAGCTCGCGTTCTAGATCTTTCACGCGCGAACTCAATTCCCGTTCTTTCTCTTCGGACTCATTCCTCAATGCTTCTAGCTTGCCTTTAAGCTCAACAAATTCACTTCCTTCATCAACAAGATCAGTCTCTATTTCCTCTGAAGAGTAATATTCCACATCCGAACTCGATGAAGGAACACGCGATTTCCCTTTTCTTACGCTTTTCGGATCTAAATCTTGTTGAAAATTATCAATGGTAGAATAGAGAGATTGATACTGTTCTTGAAGGTCGTTAACAATAGCAAGAAGCTCTCTCTTTGAATCTTTCGGAATCTTGTTTTTGTTTTGGATGAATTTTAAAAGTTTTGACACTTTCTTCTCCACTTCTGTAGAGATAACAAAAGAACTAACAAAACCTTACATAAACAATTTTCAAAGAAGGAATATAATATTTTCCCTTGAGCAAATCAATCCAAACAAAACTTACCTGTTTTTGCTCGCTCCATTTCCAAGAAATGTGAACAAAATTCTCAATATGATTCTTCTTCTTGCCTCTGCATCTGAACACGCAATAGAGCTTATCGGATTGGAACCAAAACCAGCACGATCAAAATTCGTCCTGAAAAATCATCAAGAAGAGAGCAAATCTTTTAAAACTTATGCATTATTGATAGGACCAATTACTTGTATATCAAGAAATGTAGTACTAGGTTTGAATTACTTTTCTCCCAAGATATTCATACATCAATCAATTAGGCCAGAATAAGAGAATAATTTGGTTCAAATGATTTCAAGTTTTCGTAAATCTAAGGATCAAATCATAATGAAGAGGCCACCAATTTAGTTAACAAAAAAAACTATATTGAATTTATCAGCAAAACCAAGATCTCTCAATTTTTGACACATGACTTTCCAGAAAGAAGAGAGGGTAAAAAAAATTACCAGGTAAAATGTAAAAGTCGAATAGTCTTTTTTTCTGCAGTCCTGGGAAAACTGAAACCAAAATTTGATCTATTATTTGATCTAATTATGAACTTTTTGAATTAGGAAGAGAGAATTTTAGCAGAGAGAGAGAGAAAAAAAGAAATTATTGGAGGTTGTGATAAGAAGAAAAAGGAAAAATGATAAATCGAATGGTTTATTTTTGACTTCCTATTTATTTTGTAAGAACTACGAACGTAACCACCTTTCTAGTCTCTCGTTAGCTCAATACCATATTTTGATAACAACGGCTTTAATGTTTTGGGCCATAAATATAGAACCGACTAAACTCAAATTTTCTCATATCAAATTTGAGGTGAGACTTTACCCCAAAAGAAAAAAAAATATTGAGTTGAGACCTAAACAATATATAAAAAACATTCGCCAATCAAATTATTGCAATTATTTCTAAATTAGAAATAAATTATTTTCTATTTAGAAGTCCATGTAACTTAACATAATATAAAAATTCGAACATACGATTGTTCCCACCCAATTTAAAATTGATCTAATCCAACAGTAGCTTTTGATCGATCAAACCCAAAACGTATGATCCGAAAAATGAAAATTTAAATTAGAAAGTGTTTTTAGTAGTCCGAACAAAAAATGTGATCTACTTTTGAAATTAGTCTTGTAATGGTATATTGTCAAATTTAATGTCTAGGCAGCCCATTATTATAGACATATGTGAATAGTATTCCATATCGAAAGTTGACATGATATTTCCATATTATGTA